TAGAAACCCTTTGTGACAGTTAGCTTAATGTAACTACAATATTAAAATGCTGTAGGAAGGGAGGGAAACAGGTCCACGACGTAGGAAGTGGTAATGGAAGTAGTCGAGGCGAGCATTCTGGAGTGTAGAAACCCTTTGTGACAGTTACATTAGTGTAACTGCAATTCTAAAATGCTATGGGAAGGGAGGGAAACAGGTCCACGACGTAGGAAGTGGTAATGGAAGTAGTCGAGGCGAGCATTCTGGAGTGTAGAAACCCTTTGTGACAGTTAGCTTAATGTAACTGCAATATTAAAATGCTGTAGGAAGGGAGGGAAACAGGTCCACGACGTAGGAAGTGGTAATGGAAGTAGTCAAGGCGAGCATTCTGGAGTGTAGAAACCCTTTGTGACAGTTAGATTAATGTAACTACAATTCTAAAATGCTATGGGAAGGGAAGGAAACAGGTCCACGACGTAGGAAGTGGTAATAGAAGTAGTCGAGGCGAGCAGTCCGGGGTGTAGAAACCCTTTGTGACAGTTAGATTAGTGTAACTGCAATTCTAAAATGCTATGGGAAGGGAGGGAAACAGGTCCACGACGTAGGAAGTGGTAATAGAAGTAGTCGAGGCGAGCAGTCCGGGGTGTAGAAACCCTTTGTGACAGTTAGATTAATATACCTGCAATACTAAAATGCTATGGGAAGGGAGGGAAACAGGTCCACGACGTAGGAAGTGGTAATGGAAGTAGTCGAGGCGAGCATTCTGGAGTGTAGAAACCCTTTGTGACAGTTAGATTAGTGTAACTGCAATTCTAAAATGCTATGGGAAGGGAGGGAAACAGGTTCACGACGCAGGAAGCGGTGATGGAAGTAGTCGAGGCGAGCAGTCCGGAGTGTAGAAACCCTTTGTGACAGTTACATTAGTGTAACTGCAATTCAAAAATGCTATGGGAAGGGAGGGAAACAGGTCCACGACGTAGGAAGTGGTGAAGGGAGTAGTCGAGGCGAGGAGTCCGGAGTGTGGGAACCCTTTGTGACAGTTAGATTAATGTATCTGCAATAATAAAATGCTATGAGAAGAGAGGGAAACAGGAAATACATTACGTATATTACCAATGACTTTGGTTAATTAATGGACGAGAAGTTAGGATTGTTGTTGACTGAGATTTGGTTTTTTTAAGAGGTTGACAGCCTCTTTTAACCTTGCATTAGCCCGTCCACATAGACTAAGCGCCCGTGCGTGGATCGTTTACAGCAAAGCAAGGGGTGAGCCGGTACGGTACAAAGGTGAACTGTACTGATAAAATTTAGTGGCAGTGACTAGGATCCGAACCCACGACATTGCTGCCTTGGGCCCGAAGTCCGCGTGACGCTACCGACTGAACCACCGACTCACCATTATGTGCCCCGACTCATGGGTTGATTTGCCCATACAAATAACATTATTGTGTTCACCAGTGTACCGGTAAGTATGCTAGGTGTGGGTGGACTCTTTCATTATTGCGCTGATGTTCACTCATCCCGATACGCGCAGAATAAGCGTACTACTAGTTAAAATTAGCCGGGAAATCTGAAACCCGGTTAAATTTGTTTTGAAGATTGAATAAACTTAGTCAATGGGCTAGTTGACTTTAAAATACAGTTTCAGCTCTCAAGATAATGTTTAATACGAGTATTTACCAATATTAAGGCCTGTAAAGGTATATTCCACAAGAACTTTGAAATGCCGCCATTTTGTAACGAATGAACCTTTTGAGATACGGTTTCCGGCAATGAACTTCCCTTGACCAGACCTTTAAAATGATGTGCATATCAATCTATGCTTACGTTAAAGATTATGTACCTACACCTCATGGGTCGTCCCCTGGTGGAGGTAAAAACATGAAAATGCTTGGAAAAAGTAGTTTTTATACATGTAAGTTGATGTGAAAAGTTTGAATTTTCTAACGGATTTAGTTAAAAAGATATTAAGCCGTTTCCAGACTTTTTTGTCACCCTGTATATATAGACTTATATATATATATATATACGTCCGTGAACTATGGTATGAACTTATGTAATTTTTGTCCGATTTTGATGAAATTTGGTTTAAAGGTGTAAAGCGGGATAAACTTGAATGAGTTCGCTAACCAGCATGATCGGACCATGGGAACGGGGCTTTACGGGGGGTTTTATGTGGTAAAAATTTGTTTTTCTCACTTTTGACCCTCAAAACACAAAATTTCCCAGTTTCTCTTTAGACCTTTTTAAAGAGCTTAAAAAACAATTAATTTAGTATATAAAAGTATTTTTGTTCGGTTAATAGTAACGGAGAAAATTTAAAAAATTGTAAATATGTTATTCTTATGGAGAATATTGTCAAATGTTTTAGTTTGCTTGTTTATGGATATATTTTGTATTTTGATCAAACTTATTTAGTTTGTACTAAGCTATCAATATTTTACAAAAAACACACTTTATTAGTTTCCTTGTAGCAGCAAACCTAGGTACTCGTTAAACCTAATGTTATTAAAATATATTTAATTGAAAATCAATTAAGACAAATGGAAATTCGCTAAGTCGGCAGGTTTGCTGCGGCGGGGGTATTTTTTATAACAATTTATTAACCGATCAGCATTACATTGCTATACAGGTTAGGTATAATATAAGGAAGAAAAAAAAATAACATTATTAATTACCTATATTAACATAGGTAGAGGTCAGCTATGGCTAGCCCCTCAGGCACTTATTGTCACTGTTTTGTTTTAGCGGGTCGGACTGTAAAGGCGCTGTCCACCAATGAAACACAAATGAAAAAAAATGGTTATAATAAAACATCTTGAGGCAATCTGGGTTTTAGTCGGAGTCTCTGGATTTCAGAAGGTTGGCCTGTGTTATAAAATCCAATGCTGCTGGTTAATGGAAGTTTTGTAAATAATTTTGATGTAATTTTCTTGATGAAATCTTCTATAGGTTTTATTCCCAGTTCTAAATGTATTTTACGGGTTCGAACATACCAGGGACATTATAGAATTATCCTTAAAACTTTATTTTGAAATGTTTGCAGTTTACGAATCAAGCTTGATGAAGCAGTTCCCCATACTGGGCAGGCGTATAACAATAGTGGACGTAGAAGTGTTTTATATAGAAGGGTTCCATTCTTAATAGACATACATGATTTTTTGTTGATTAAAGGAAACAATTTTGATAATCTGCCATAAGCCAAATTTAATTTTTTATTAATATGAAATTTCCAATTTAACTTTCGGTCGAAGTATAGACCTAAATATTTTATTGCTTGGTCAGGAGGGTTCCATGCAATCTGTTCACCTAGAATTTATAAATTTGGAGGATCTAACGGTTTTCGGAGGGTAAAAATCTTCGCTTCACTCTTCATCGGATTTATGGCTATTCTCCATTTTGTGAACCATTCCATCAAATTGTTTAAGGAAACTTGAATGTTATTGGCCACAACTTTGATGTCATGGTGTGTAGAGTAGAGTAGGGTGTCATCAGCCGGGGCTATAGAATACAGGGGCTGGCTCACGTCGACTAGCAAAGTGGTCTTACTGCCGTGTGGCTGTGACGTCACCGGGCTGCCTCCACGGGTGTAGCTAGCGCGCGACACATATACAAATCGCTCATTTAAATGCTTCCCTAAATGTACACAATTAAATTGTTGGTATGAAACTTATATCGTTGTAATCTGCATTAACTACAGAATCTGATGGTCCAAAAATATTTTAGTTATGATCAATAATATGTATTTTAAAAGGGGAAAATTATAACAATTACAAACTTGTGAACTACAAAAAGTCACTAAGCGGGGATTTTTTTTATTTTTGGGATAGGAACAAACTTTGAGCGAGAAAAATATTCATTAATAGTTCTATTTCAATAATTAGCCTGAAAATTTTCGATAAAACCAACGGGTCGTTTATTGCTTATCAGGAAGTAAGGCTTTATTAACTTGGCGATCACATTACATCGTTCTGCACATGTCCGCATCGTGCTGTTTATAACATGATAGTAAAAAAATGTTATGATCCTAAAACAATTGCACTGTTTCTATTAGTTGAAACAAGTAATTAGTGCTAAAACTGAATTTTAAGAATTGTGTAGACTTAAGGCTTAGAATGTTATTTTATCTTGTTTGATATTCCGGTACCCCTTGTCATATAATTCTAATACACTTGGTTGGGTATCTTTTAGGAATGTGTAATGGTTTAGGTAATTTTATATTGTCTGTTGAACAAAGTGTTTATTCGTAGAAAATAAGTAAAAGAGCGTTTTAATGCGATAGTATTTTTATTATAATAGTTGTATCCTATTTCGCTGATTTTAGCCACTTACTCATCTTCTGATCATTTTTCTTCTATCTTCTTCAGAAAAAAACGGAAGACGCGAATAACAATGAAAGAGCGAAGTTGTTTTTACGCGTATTTGATGCAGTGTTGCCATAACAACAACCTAAAATTTGCGAGGCGAGCGGCAAAATTACCTGCCAGCGCTCAGTTGTAACAATCGTCTTTTGAGACGATTTATTAATGAACTGTTAGGGGTATTTAAGAATTGTTAAGTTTAAGGAAGAACTGATTGACTACAGTTTTCTCGCTGAAAGTTTGTGCCCAACCCGAAAATTAAAATGTTCCTCGCTTAGTGACTTTTTCAAGTTTCATTATTGTAGTTTCTCTACGTTTGTTGGTATAAAACCAATTTACTTGTGGTAAACTAAAAACTGTTTGGATATTTGGATTCTACAGTTAATGCAGAATAAAACGATATAAGTATCATATGAGAAATATGTTTGTACAACGGCAGAGGAGCGTGTAAAAGAGTGAGATTTTCGCTGGCCGCGTAATGGAAACAGGCCCAACTGTCAGCCCGGTGACGTCACAGGAGGTGAAGGAGCGGGGCCGTGTCGGCAAGTGCTTGTTACTGACTAAGGTCAGCTGTTTTTGTGGCTTGGATATGGGACTAAAGATTAATAAAAATATTGTTTGGATGGATGTAAAGACTGACTCCGTTTTTAAATTTTCCAGGTGCTTGGCCCTGGATGGCGGCCTTGGGTTACAGCTCCCCTACTAAGCCGTTGGACTGGTTATGTGGAGGATCATTGATAAGCAGCCGACATGTACTCACAGCTGCACATTGTCTAGTCAACATTGGACGTAGAACATTGTACAGTAATATTTGATTTTAAATTATTTATTTCAACTAGAGTGTATACAGGATGAATAAAAAGTCAAAACTTTTTATTTTATTTTTCTAAATGAATATATATGAATAATGAATATATATATGAGATATTTGGTGGTCTTGCAATCTTGGCAGGAAGTTTCATTTTATTATTTTGAAAATATCGTATCCCCCAAAAAAGGGGGATATAGGGGGTAACTCAACATTTTTAAATGTAATCTCCCTTCAAGTGATACCTCATTTTGAAGTCTTAACAACAACTTAAAGGATGGTGAAAACCAGAGTTTGCTATCTCTCCTCTACCCAAAATTGTAGCCCGTCAAAGGTTTAATGACATCCACTATTATATTATTTTCCTGTATAAAAAAGTAATTTTCCCTTCCCCTCTGATTTGTTCCTTGGTAAACGTACAGAGTTATCAGTGACAAGTCTAACCAAGTGTGTCTTATGGAGGGTTCTAAGGGATTTGCAAAGATTCGTCATATTAAGGAATTTGTTTTATTGAGGTTTGGTATATTGAAAATAGACTGTATTTGATTTTCATTGAACCATTTTCTATAGTGTAAAGGGGATTATTTTTTTTTTTTTTGGGGGGGGGGTAGTGCGTCATGAGTCTTGGGGACGGGCAAAAAAATATTATATTTTACAAAGAAATCTGCAAATTGATGGATTTCATTGTTATTGAGTCCATTTTTAAACTTTACATCAAGTGTATATATTAATACATAACAAATTAACAAATAGACTATTCAGATCCATGCAGATTGACCAAGCAGATGTTGTAGGTGTTTCACTACACACTCCCATCAGACGATATAGGTTTATTCACCGTAAATCAAGTGTATGTGATAAAAGCGACAATCTTTTTTTTTTTAGGATAGCTACACCTGTGAAAACTATTACAGCAGAGTATCACTTAGACAAGGGAAAATTGCATCTGGTAATCAGATATTTATTGTAATCAATTCATATATATAGGCCTATATTAGGGTGGGTAAAAAAAATATATAATTTTTTTTTTCGAGTTGTAATACCCTGGAAAATTTGCTAAATTGTAAGACCAAACAGGGTAAAAATATTAAAAATATTGGTTGTTATCTTCCGGTCGCGCATGTGCTCTTAAGTTTGTACAAAAAACAAAAAACTCATATTTTATCAGAAATTTTGTACAATTTTTAAATTTCCGATTTTTAATACTATGTAATAGTTGGACATTTCATCTACAAGACACTATAAGAAAGTTATATTTTAATAATAGTACAAGAGCTCGCCCCGTGGTCCAAAACTACCAAAGGTATGTTTGGGCAAACTTTTTCATTTTCACCCCACACAACTAGCCAATAATACATAACTAGTTAACCGCCTGTGCTCCGCCACGGGAATATTGTCAGCAATAAAGAAATAATAATTAACAAATACTGTTTATCTTTGTATTTTATTTAGGGGTTGTTTAATTTTTTACATGAAATAGAACTGATAGTTTGCCTGTATAAACTATTTTATGTTAATCAAACCGATATATTATTTTAACCAAATGAATGGTTTATATTAATTCGAGTTTCATTTGAAAAATAAATAGTATACAAACTGGGTAATGCTGATAACCTAATAAACAGCTATTTATGCTATTTAGATAATTTGCTCAAGTATGTTCCAATATTCGTAGTTTTTTTTTCATTACATTTGTTGTATGGAATAAAGATAGTCACTTAGCCTACATGTAAATCACGCATCAGCAGTTGGTCGCATTTCACGAATCTTTGACCCATACTGTGAGTAAAAGCTGTGTTTACGTCGTATATATAAAGTTGGGCATACTTTGTTCAATGTTAGAGGGTGTTAACGGTCCAATTTGATGGAAAAGGAGTAGTGGATTTTAAAGCTATGTAGACTACCACTACCAGAAAGATGTTGATTCAAGTGAGACTTAGAACTGGTCATTTCAAATGCAGATTTGTATTATATTTTACCATTGACTATTGGATACAGAAGTTGTATTAATAGTCAAAGATTTTACTCAAATAGTTTTTTGTCTCTTTTGACCCTTAATACTTTTTTTATAGTCACTGTTGATAAGATTTTTCATAAACTCAAAATATTGATAAGGAGTTCATTTTACCTTCCCCTTGTGACAACATAAGAAAAAAATATTTGTGTCTCAGTTAGTCTGTCCTGACTGAAAATTAATAGATTTGCAGTACTGACAAATCCAATTTAACGACCCCAATTCAAAAAAATTGGTATTTTTTAGAAGGGACTTCCAGAGCACATTTAACACCATCACTGCTCTTTACCTTTTTAGTTCGATGGTTCTCTACATGTTTTTTTTCGTTCTGTATGTCTCTTTACGCAAGGGTAATGATTACCTTTTCTTTTTCTTTTTGTACTTTTCTCATCCTGGGGTTAATGATAAAGTTTTATAACGCTATAATGACCCGAGTCAACATTGCCATTAAACATCAAGTCAGATACTTCTTCGCCAGAACCGAAATCGTAAGTCACAGTTTCTCAAGCAACTTCCCTGTGTAGGCCTACTCGAAAAAATATAGTTAGGGTATAGTTCACTGATAAATTGTAGTTCCAAATATCCCAGCTTACTCGCCCTCTTGAGAAGGTAAAATTTGGACGTCGAACACTGATCTTGAGTAAGATTAATCACTTACGATAAAATGTTTGTATGTTTACCAATCATTAGCAATTATCTGTACAACCTGCAAGCGGATTTCCCTATGATTGTTCTGGTGGCTATAGAGAATAAATTATATTGATCAAAACAATAAGTTTCCGTTCCCTACTATGGGTATTATTTCACATTCCATACTCAAACTTAAACTCAATTACCACTTTCCTTCAGATCACTTTGCAGGAAAACTAAAACATTGCCATTAAACATCAAGTCAGATAGCCTACTTCTTCGCCAGAACCGAATGGTAAGTCACAGTTTCTCAAGCAACTTCCCTGTGTACTTGAAAAAAAAATATTTACTGATATATTGTAGTTCCACGTATCCCATCGTACTCGCCATCTCGAGAAGGTAAAGTTTGGTACCACTGAACGTCTAACACTGATCTTGAGTAAGATTCGTCACCTACTATAAATAATGTTTGTATGTTTCCCACTCATTAGCGATTATATGTACAACTTGCAAGCGGATTTCCCTATGATTATTCTGGTGGCCGTAGAGAGTAGATTATATTGATCAAAACATTAAGTTTCCGTTCCCTACTATGGGTATTATTTCACATTCCATACTCAAACTTAAACTCAATTACCACTTTCCTTCAGATCACTTTGCAGGAAAACTAAAACATTTCAAAAATAAGTTAACAAATACACTTTCCTTGATCAAAATCGTGTGTTTATAAACAGAAACTCCAAGTTTAATAATTGCATACTGAAAGTGAGGTTATAAAAATAATAACAAATGTCTGACAAACATTAAACAGCTGACAAATAATTTATAAACTGTGTATTATATTCTTCAATAAGAATTGTATTGACTCGACCTTTAAAGGGCTGTAGGTCGTAGCCCTAAGAAAAAACGTAAATTCTAAGGAAGTTCGGCAAATCTACACACTATCCCCTTTAATTTGAGACATAAATCTTGTAGATCGGTCCAGTAATTACTGAGAAATCAGTGTTACAACTGTGTATTAAATATATAGATACAATAATACATGTGATTTGAATTTCTTCCATGACCTTTCTTTTAGCACAACCCGCATGTAAATAGGTCCAGTAATATGGTCAGGCTAGTTGTTGTCATAAGTTTTGCAAAAGCTTTTTAATATATAAGATTCAATAAATGAATAGTAAACTTTTCAGGCACATATAGAGTTAATTACATTTCATTTAACACAACCTGCATGTAAATTGGTCTAATAGAACTCCGATCTCACTCTTATTAGACTTAAAATTTTACCTCATGTTAAATTGTAAATAAAGAATTTAACTTCCGTTTTTAGCGAATTTCCCATATAGGGAATAAGCTATTACCGTAGTACTCATGGTAAGACCTGGACCCGGGACCGATTTTTTTTTTTCGTTTTGAGGTCCCTAGAGGCCAAAAACACCATCCGTTCAAATCCATATATATATATATATATTTTATTTTTTTTGTTGTTAGTCATTTATGTTTTAATTTAGGTGTTCACGTAATAGGGCTGCTGATATATTAAATATTTAAGTAAATAAGTACAACTGAGCACCCTGAATATTATATTTTATAAAAAGAAGTGACATGTTTCGGACATTAGTCCATTTTCAAACTTCAAAATACATGTAAAAGTGATCGAGCAAAAATGATCCGATTTTGATGAAATTTGGTACAAACGTGTAAACCTACGTTTATTCGAACGAGTTCGCGAACCAGCATGATCGGACCATGGGAACGTGGGTTTATTGGGGCTTTTATGGGGTAAAAATGGGTTTTTCCCATTTTTGACCCAAAAAACATAAAATTTTGCAATTTCTTTCTTAACTATTTTGTAGAGCTTAAAAAAACAAATAATTTAGTATATTGAAGCGTTATAATGCACCTAATAGTTACGGAGAAAATTCCGAAAAATTGTAAATTTAAAATTTCTATGTTATTCTTATGGAGAATAAGTAAACTGTTGTAGTTTGCTTGTTTATTAACATATTTTGCCCAAATTTGGAAAATGTTTTTATTTCTTACCAACTATTAACATTTTATATAAAAAACACTTTTACCCTCCCTGTTGCAGCAAACCTAAGTATGTTTTAAACTGATTCTTTTTAAATAGGGAATAAATGTGATATTTTTAAGGAGACATTTTAGTGTAAATCCATTCAGGGAAATGGAAATTCGCTTAGTCTGCAGGTTTGCTGCGGCGGGGGTATTATAGCATTTAGTGGATTATAAATGGGCAAATATACAGACAATTACCTTTCATTTGGTACCAATCCCGTCTATATCGGTACAGTAGTATGGTCAGGGTGGCTGTCGTAAACTTACAAAT